TTTTTGTTTGCCCATCCAAATATAGCAGCCAAATGTGGCTCTACTTAAGAGGTTACCAAAACTGACAGCTGTCTTTCTCATGTTCTTATTTATTTTATTGTTTTCTGCCAGCAGGGGGCGCTCAGGGGAGACGCCAACATCAGACTTGGGCACCATGAAAGCAGAGAGACCTGTGGAGCTCCCTCGTTATGCCCCAACAAAAAGGTTTTGATTCTTCATCTTAAGTTTAAACAAACATTTTCACTCGTGATTAAATACTGTCTGTACAAAACTCGTGAGCTGTATCACTTTTTCCTATTCTGAAATGAATGTGCAAATTTCTTTTGCAGTTGTGTATGGTCTAGTGAATAACACATAAATGTAATTGGTTTAACATCGTCTTGGTAATTTAAAACTCAGACAAAAGGAGAAATGGGACTACAAGACGTGTGAGAGTTTTTTACGCATCCACAGCAGCTACTTCTGCTGTTTAAGAAACAAATGAGCTGAAGAGAAATTTAGTACTCAAATAAAAATAAGTAAACAACGAACAGGGCTTAAACAAGAATCTAAACATTTTAACAGAACAGTTGAAAGTACCATTGACTTGAAGCTGAATTCTAATCAGCTCTACAGAAAGGTTTTACTCAGATTCCTGTAGTTAAGGACCTCCTCCAGGGTTCTTGTCTGCACTTTACCATTGAGGCCGCCCTCGGTAAGATCCACAACACAAAATACAGCATCGTACAGAAATATCTTTTTGCTTTCTCTATTACTTTCCTTTAGTAAAGACACCTTTAGTAAAAACTTGTCTTCTGCTAATTATTTCTTCCTATTCTATGTAGACAAATCTAGGTCTGTGGACTAATAGGAAACAGCTATTTCTTCTTAAGTTAATCTTCATATCATACGCATGTAATAGAATACATCAAATCCACAAACATAAACTAGTAAAACAAAAAAACCCGAAGTAATTTGAAATTAATCTTTAAATGATTGTAACTTAAGTACAGATTGCCTTTGTTTCTGAAAAAGCAGAAAACGCTGCATGAACCCAGCTGTAGCGAAGTCCAGGCTGAGTGTTAAGTTGAGGGACAGTCTTTTTCTGTTCCTGCCACAAAATCCAGGTTCCTTCCTCCTGGTTAGTCCAGCTTCCCACTCTTTTCCCAACACAACTGCATCCCATCATTTCCAGTTAAGAGTCAGCATTTATGGACCAGCTCGTGGCCTCATTCTCTGCTGAAAGGTCTTCTGTCCTGTAAACTTTTATTCTCCTTGTGCTCACTCATCACAGACGGCCAATTGCTTTGCCAAAAGGTTGAGCGCACA